TCTATTGCTTTCCCAGCCCATAAGCAGAGAGCTGGATCAGAAGTGGAGCAGCCAGGACTTGAACCTGCACCTATATGAGATGCTGGCGCTACAGGCAGTGGTTTTACCTGCTATGCCACAGAGCTGGCCCCATCACTCTGCCTTTAAAATAAATAAATCTTTTTTTAAAAAAGTTCTAAATGATTGTGATAATGGAAATATTAAATAAATCAGGCAGACCTAAAGCAAATATGGCAAAACATTAAGATTTGACAAAGCTAAGAGGTTAATGACAAGAGTGCTTATGATTTACTGCATTTTTCTGCTTTCCTAAAACAGGAATTGGAAAACTATTTTTTTAGTATATCTTGGAACTAAAAGTGGTTTATATTTTTAAGAATTTTTTTAAAGATTTATTTATTTATTGGAAAGACAGAGTTAGAGAGAGGTAGAGACAGAGAGAGAGGTCTTCCATCCACTGGCTTACTCCCCAGATGGCCACAATGGCTGGAGCTGTGCCAATCTGAAGCCAGGAGCCGGGAGCTTTCTCCAGGTCTCCCAAGAGGGTGCAGGCACCAAGGACTTGGGCCATCTTCTACTGCTATCCCTGCTCACAGCAGAGAGCTGGATCGGAAGTGGAGCAGCGCCAGGATTAGAACCAGTGCGTATATGAGATACCGGTGCTATAGGCCAGGGCTTTAACCAGTTGCGTCACTGCGCCGGCCCCCGGTTTACATTTTTTAAAAGTTTTTTTTTTTTTTTTTTTTTTTTTTAAAGACAAAGACTATGTGACAGAGATCTTGCAACCCACAAAACCTATAATATTTCTTGCCTGTCCCTTTACAGGAAAAGTTTGCCAATTCTGACATAAAAAATCTGGTGAAAAGAAAAAAAAGAGAGGCAACTGAGTTAATGGATAATGGTCTGTCTGCTTGCATTAAGCATCTTCTTGAATTAAACACTTCACATTTCTTTTTTTTTTTAAAGACATTTATTTATTTTTTATTTGAAAGACAGAGTTACAGAGAGAGGGAGAGAGAGAGAGAGAGACAGAGAGAAAGATCTTCCATCTGCTGGTTCACTCCCCAGATGGCCTCAACGGCTGGGCCAGGCCAAAGCCAGGCCAAAGCCAGAAGCCACAAGCTTCTTAGATTTACCATGTGGGTGCAGGGGCCCAAGCACTTGGGCCATCCGCTGCTGCTTTCCAAGATACAGTAATAAGGAGCTGGATCAGAAGTGGAGCAGCTAGCACTTGAACTGGGATGCAGGCTGCAGCTTAACCCCTTATGCACAAAGCAGGCCCCCAAGCTACCTGCCTTTGTAAATTGGCTTTTCATTAATTATTTTTCCTCTTTAACAAGAAGAAATATCACAGGTTTTTATTCTGTTTGGTGATACTGGGACTTACAAGAATGGTGTGAGACCATATTTTAATGAGATCTTAGTGTCCATACTTGTCAGAAAGCCAGGAAGCTCATTTCTAGCCTGGGTGGTGCTTACACTGGAGGTGTCGCCGCGTGCTCGATCCCAAAGGCTGGGACGAAGGGGAGTGCTGCTTGCCATGTGTTCTTGGCCTCAGGTTCGCATTCTCTACTTTCTGCAGCCCATGTGCTTTTTAGAATAATTTGTCTCATTTTTTTCAGAGGAGATAATGGAGGAAGAAAGTTGAGCAAAATTCAAAATACAGTATCATATGGTAAGAGCTTCTGCTTGGGGCCAGCACTGTGGCGCAGCAGGTTAACGCCTTGGCCTGCAGTGCCGGCACCCCATATGGGCACTGGTTCTAGTTCAGGCTGTTCCACTTCCAGTCCAGCTCTCTGCTATGGCCTGGGAAAGCAGTGGAAGATGGCCCAAGTCCTTGGGCCCCTGCACCCATGTGGGAGACCTGGAGGAAGCCCCTGGCTCCTGGTTTCGGATTGGCGTAGCTCCGGCTGTTGCGGCCAACTGGGGAGTGAACCAGTGGATGGAAGACCTCTCTCTTCTCTGCCTCTCCTTCTCTCACTGTGTAACTCTGACTTTCAAATAAATAAATAAATCTTTAAAAAAAAGGAGTTTTTGGCTTAGTGATTATAAGATGTTGGAATAGTTCATTGGAGAAGACTTTTTTTTAATGGGTAGCCAGGTTATTGTGAGAAAATAGAAAAAAATCTGAAGTATTACATGTCTTAGCTCACAATAACTGGCAGCTCTTAGGATATTAATATCATTTTGAGGTAGTTATTATGTTGCTTCTTTCTTTTTAAAATATGAAGTACATCAGTATGACTTAAATACATGAAATAATTTTTTTCACTTTTGTAATTAATTCCTATAGTTTCTCCCCAGTGTTGGCTCAGTTAATTGAAGAGATCAACATTATGAATCAACACAGAGATTTCACATAAGTGCTCAGGGAATATCTACAGATATTTTTATTAAAATCCATCTAATAACCTTAAATATGAATTGTTTTAAACTTTTACACCACTGGTACTAAAAATGTGCACACAACAGAAGACACAAAACATGTCAGGTAAGAATTATTCATTTGATCACAATAAACATTTTTCCCTCTGCTCAAATGAAAAACTTAATGAGAAGACTAAAAATAACATGTAACTTTATTTATTTATTTTTAGCTCAGATTCATAACTGCCATCTCCAGTATATAATTGGCTTAAATTATTATTATTTTTTTTTTTACTTTATTTAAAAGGCAGTGGGGTAGAAAAGAGGAAGAGAGAGAGATCTCTCATCTGATGCTGGTTGACTTCCAAAATGCCCACGACAGCTGGGGCTGGGCCAGGCCAAGGCAGCAGCCAGAAACTCAATCTGCATCTCCCATGTGGATGATAGGGACCCAACTACTTGAGCCATTACCTCTTGTCTCCTAGGGTGGGCATTGGAAGCAGGGCTGAGACTCAAACCCAGGCACTCCAAAATTGGCTGAGGGCACCCCAAACTGTTTTGACCACTATGCCAAACTTATATAAAAAGGCATAAAAAAATGACAAAATACTTACGGGTCCAATACCCAGATTATAAAATAAAACAGTACTAATACTATTGAGGCCCCTGGCACAGTATTTCTCAGTTACATGTCTTTTCCTTCTCCCAGGTTTAACAATTGTTCTGAATACCATATTTGATGTATATGTGTATTTTCTCATAATTTTTGTACAAATATACCTATCTCAAAACCATATGTAGCAATATTTTACAACTTGCTTTTGTTGATTTGCCGTTATGTCTGTGATTCATACATGTTGACAGGTATAGTACATTCATGAGTTAGTGCTCATCAAATATTCTGAGTGCTTCTCTATGTTGCTCAAATTTTATTTTTTATTCATTTTCATTTGATACAAAGACAGAGAGATTCCACCTGACAACTCCCTCCCCAAATGCCTACAACAGCCAAGACTGGGCAAGGCTGAATCCAGGAACCTGGAATCTGGGTATCCCAGGTGGACAGAGGGACCCAAGTACTTGTGCCATCATCTGCTTTCACCCAGGATGTGCACTAGCAGGAAGCTGGATCTGAAGCAGAGGAGCCAGGTTTCTAATCTGATATGGTACGTGGGCATCCCAAGCAGCATCTTTAACCACTGTGCCAAACACCTTGCCCCTGTTACTCAGATTTTAAGTTGGGAGCACTAGATTACGAACAGAAGTTTGTATTGTCTGAGACAAGACAGTTAAAAACACCACCCTTTTCTTTCCCTTCCCCAGTAAACTCAAAATATACTTATGAACATTGAGAATCCATTAGCCAGGCTGGGTCTTTTTCTTTTCTTTTCTTTTTTTTTTTTTAAAGTAGTTAGCGAGGTAGCAAAATTTAATGAGGAGAAATACATCTGATAAACCAGGTGGGCATTCCAGGAAAGAACTGAGCACCCACTCTGCTTTAGACTGGTAATGAAGACAACACAGCTGACAGACCAGGCGAGCGTCTCAGTGAAGGGTTGAGAGCCCCGTCTGCAATCAGGCTGGAGATTTCACGGATGTGAGTGTGCCCCCAGTCTGGGTCCTTGAGCCAGGTGCAGTGCAGCCCCTTGCTAGCCCCTTGGTGAACTTGTAAAATAAACCAAGAATAATCTTGTTGTGTTTAAACACACATGTATACATACCAGCAGGTAACTGCCTTTCTGAGAGTACTCAAAAGCAACGCTATCAGTAAAGGGATAGATATGAAGGCTGTCACAATTACTTCTCATTCTAGATTGATACTTATTCTCACATGTTGAAGCAAATCTCATAGGCTAGTCTTTACCTTTTTGACGGTTTATTGCACTAACGATACTTTCAAGTATTTTCACAGGCTCCAGTGTGGTTTCAGGCTCCCCGACTAGATTTTAAGCTCTTTAAGCATCATGTCCCTGGGGCTGGCATTGTGGCATACTGGATTTTGCCTGCAAAGCTGGCCTCCCATATGAGTGCTTGTTCATGTCCCAGCTGCTGCACTTCTGATCCAGTTCCCTGCTGATAGCCTGGGAAGGCAGTGGAAGATGGCACAAGTACTTGGGCCCCTGCATCCATGTGGGAGACCCAGAAGAAGCTCCTGGCTCCTAGCTTTGGCCTGGTCCAGTTCTGGCTGTTGTGGACATCTGGGGAGTGAACCAGCATGTGGAAGATCTCTCTCTCTCTCTCTCTCTCTCTCTTTCTGTAACTCTACCTTTCAAATAAATTATTTTTTTAAAATCATGTCCTTTATTCTTTTGTACCGTACACTGCACCTTGTACAGGTCTACATATACATGTGGTAAGGACCTATCTTTTGGTAAACTATGAAGATTATTATTAAATGACTTTTATATAAGCATTATACTTCATAAAGTTACCTTGATCTACATTATTTTTACCATATAGAAGAGGAATATTAAGGCTAAGTAGTTTTCCTTTGGTCGCAGGACTAGGAAGAAGATGAAGGGTATGGAGACAGCAGTTGATCAGTCTTTTTAACTCTCTTTGCTTTTTACTGACTGAGCTGAAACCAACCCTAGTATAGGGAAACAGCATGAGTAGAATGTAAGATGACTCACCTTGATCACTTCGGGGGTCTGCTGAATCAACACTACTGAAGTAGTATCTTTGGCTTTATCACCAACAGCACTTCTACCGACTGACACACTGGCCGGGGAGGAACTTGTCAAGGTTTCCTGTAGAATCTGCATCATTTCCTTTTCTTGCGATAGACTTCCTCTGCTTGATTTGCACTCGACTAGTTCTTGGGCAAAGTCTTCAATGCTTTCCAGAATTCTCAGTAGGAGTGCTCTATCCTCTTCCTCTATTTTGTGTCCGTTGGTTTCAATAACCTTTGTCAGACAGGAAGGTGAGACTTTTTCTGCAGGTGAAGCGTCTTTAGATTTAGGCTCAAGATCTGCAGGGATCTGAGCAGCCATCTGACCAGGACTGTTCAGAGACTCCGAGTTTTTACCATTAGCAAGTGGCTGTCTTAAAGAGGTCTCCATCTTCTGTGAAAACGATTCCAAATCCATTAATAATTTATCTATCTCTTCCTGGCTGTTAGGGTTCACATAATCCCCCTTGTCTCCCGCTTCAACTTTAGCAACTTTTAATTTAGGGTCTTCGCCGGCTAGATGAACACCTGGCTTTTCAAATGCCTTGCCAATTTCATTTTGTGTCGAGGCAGGGCAGTTTTTAAGATGAGTACCACAGTCTGAAAATTCTGCTTTACGTTCTTTTACCTTTAACTCTTGACTGGGTCCATTCTCTGTCCTTTGTCCTTTATCTAGTGCTTTCCTTCCATCTGACTCTTCTTCAATGTAAAGAGTTTCCATTAAGTCACCAGATGCAACGTTTTCCAAAGAGTTCATGGTTAATGACGGTGACTGAAGCTGGGCAGTTTTTATTTCTAAGTTATATAAGGAATCTGTGGAGTTGTTGGGGATGGATTTTATGGTGTCCATTTTTCTAGAATTATACTTGTCATCTTGTAATTCACTAGTCTGAAACTGTCCAGAGTCAGGGGCTGAGAGCTGGACAACATCTTCATATTTAGGGGGCTGTTCAGTGCCAAATATTGGAGAGAAGGGAGTCAGCTGTAAGCTAGGCATATTACTGACCAGTTCTGTTAAATCTATAGCCTCATTGTTTCCAGACTGCATGAACTCAAACGGTAACTTTTTCAGATAGGATGCTAACCTGGTCATTACATTCATATAGACAGTTTCAGAGCTAGATATTGCATCATTACTACTTCCTTCATTGATGCCACCCCCCGACTTTTTCTTAATGCATTGTTTTATGATATCTGTGCATTTTTTCAAATCCTCAGAGCATTTCAGCAAGATGTCCAAGCACATCTTTATGTCTGTCCCAGAGGAAAAATTATCGATTTTATGTTTTTCTAAAATATGGGTAACTAGGTCTTCTTCCGAGAAGTTGTGAAGAAGCATGGAAGTCAGGTTTGTATCAAGTGAGTTTCTGTGGGACAAAGACTTTTCCTCAACTGAGGAACTTCGGAGTAAACCAAAGGACGGGGAGGTCCCATCGCTGTTGTAATGACCACAGAGCAGGTCAAAATCAACTGACCTCCTATTAAATGAGTCAGACTTGACTTTCCTTCCTTTTTTATAAGCTGCATGGTTAGAGTTTTTGAGTTTTTCAAGGGAAAATTCCTTTATTTTCCCACTTGCAAAACTGATTGCTTCTCCTGCAATGTCCTTTAAGTTACAGGAATTCTGAAACGCAGATCCTCTCCTGACCCTGGGCATGCCTGTGAAGGTCTGATGGGTATAGTCACCTTCAGCTGCGGAAAGCCCATTCTCGTGGGGTAGAAACACAGAGTTCAGATCCACATCTTTGAAATGAGACACCGGGATGTGCAAGAGATCCGCGCAAACGCTGTGATGAACCACAATGCAGTCAACTCCATGTGAGAAGGTGTGGCATGTTCCAGTGCAATAATGTATAGCTTGCTCAAAACGCCGGTCTATTAGCACACTGCTATAGTGGTTCACAGTACTAACCACAAGTCTGTAAGTTGCTGCCATAATATCAAATCCACTTAGTAGTGGGGCTTCAGACTTTTCAGAACTTATTTCAATTCAAATTTTCTAAATGACACTTCGCTGAAAATATATGTAGTGACAATGTTCAGTGGTTTCTTTGCAAACGACTTCTCTCACAAAGGGAAATCATCTAAATTTGAGGTTCAGTAACTATCAGTATACAGTAGTTGCTGCATGTGTGCTTGTCTAATTATTAGCAAATCTAATAATTTAACAACTGTGCTTTTAAATTTTGTTTAGTAATATGATACTACAGGACTATTTTTATGAGAGAGTATCCTTTTAGTTCTTCCATTCTGTAACATGGAAATTTGTCATGAATTTACTGTCATAAATCTTAGCTGGTAGCACAGAAGCATTGTGATAACTGAGTCCTCCAATGGTTTAAATGATCCATCTTTCTGTAAACAAGAGACACCTATAATAAAGAAGAAAATAATTAAAAAGCAACATGATTTTTAATATTGGAACTTTTAAGTTCTTCTTTCTTGCAGCTAACCAGTAAGTCTTATGCTCTGCCATATCATGATTGCTGATATTCAGTACATGCTTTACTTCGTCACAGCCCCACTAGTTGCTACCTTGAGCAGTTATTACCTCAACTCTGCCTGCTGCAACCACCTTCCGGGTGACATTATTTATCCCAGTCTCCTTGCCACCTACACAGCACTAAGAAGCTTCGATTCAGGCAGCTTCCTCCTCCCCCACGTTTGAGAATTCACACCACTGATCTCCGTCATGGATCAGGGCAGCTCTGCCTCTTTTGGCTCACTTTCAAGCCCTTCAACGTCTGTTTGCATCCACCTGTAATGGTACCTTGTACTACTCCCAGGCACCAACCTTTTGCTTACATCAGCAGTCTTCTCAAAGACTCCAAACACATAGCGTTTTCTGGATCCTGACACTTCTTTTATATTTTGCAATCATTTTCCTATTGCCTTCTCTTTTCTTACCAAGAGAAAGTTGTTCTGGTTACTTCTCTTGGTCCTGTCCTCCCCACTTCATCGAGTGGACAGAATTCAATCATTCCCAAACTTTATTTTTTTATAGACAGCTTTTATTTAATAAATATAAATTTCATCGGCACAACTTTTGGAATATAGTGGTTCTTCCCCCCATACTTTCCCTCCCACCCTGAAACCATCCCACCTCCTACTCCCTCTCCCATCCTATTCTTCATTAAGATTTATTTTTAATTATCTTTATATACAGAAGATCAACTCTGCACTAAGTAAAGATTTCAACAGTTAAGCTTTTTAAAACATGGTTTTAAAAACATGTTACAGTTGCCTTCCAAAAATATTCTATCAATATATTCATTTGGTCAACAAACATTGAATGCTGACTTACGTGCCAGGCATTTTCTAAGTGCGAGGGATACAGCAGAGAATAAAATAAAGTCTCTGTCTTTATGAAGCAGACATATGGAAAAATGACATGGAAGCAAGCATATGACTTACCTGATAAGATATGTGTGCAATAGAAAAAAATAAGATTTTAGAAAGGATGGTGGGGCAGGGTTGGTGGGGGGTAGGTTGCTGTTTTATAATGAGAAGTCAGGGAAAATCTCACTGATATCTGAAGAGACCTGAAAGGGAGCAGGCCAAGGAAGTACTATGAGATAAATCATCTTTACGACAGCTAGAGACTGATGAAAGGGAGAGGGACAGAAACAGAAAGAATGAGAGAGCTCCTCCACTTGCTGGTTTATTTCTCAAATGATTGCACCAGAAGAAAACTGGCGGGGCTAGAGCTGGGAGCTCAATCCAAGTCTACCATGTGGGGTGGCAGAAACCACAGGTGCCTGAAGGGTACGCCTCAGTAGTAAGTTAGAGTTAGGAACCTGAACCAGGCTTCAATCCCAGGTACCCCATTATTAGCTGTGGGCATCTTAACTGTGAGGCTAAACATTCACCCTGGAAAGCTGGGATTTTTAAATCACGGAGTACTCTACAGACCATTATGATGAAACTGGCTTTAACTCTTGAGTGAGCTAGCAAACACTGAAGGCTACTGACTAATATTTTAATTTGGAAACTTTGGCTACTGTGTTCAAAAACTCTGGAGAACCAGGACAAGAAGTAGGGAAACAAGCTAGGAGTTATTATAATGAGCCAGGCACGAAGGCTAGGGAGTTTGTACCAGGATATGAACAGCAGAGATGCTATATATATATTTAGAAGGCACAGTCCACATGATTTTCTGGAGGACAGAATATGCAATACTACTGCATCAAGGACAGTGTAATGAGGCAATGATGGAAGGACAGGAGAGTATCATTTCATGGCACCATCACTAGCACTGGTGCTTTAACAATAACAATCTTGGGGCTGGCGCTGTGGTGAAGCCATTGCCTTCAGTGCCAGTATCCCATATGGGTGCTGGTTTGAGTCCCGGCTGCTCCTCTTCTGATCCAGCTCTCTGCTATGGCCTGAGAAAGCAGTAGAGGATGGCCCAAGACCTTGGGCCCCTGCACTTGCATGGGAGACCCGGAGGAGGCTCCTGGCTTCAGATCGGCACATTCCACTGTCACGGCAAACTGGGGAGTGAACCAGAGAATGTAAGACCTCTCTCTCTCTCATGCCTCTGCCTCTCTCTAACTCTGCCCTTCAAATAAATAAATCTTAAACAACAACAACAACAACAACAACAATCTTTACTCATTTAAGAATGAGAAACACTACTTGTTTTTGTATTTCATTTCTTTGATCCTTAAAAAGCCTATTTTGCTGAATTAGTTTATTTTTTTCTTTGGTAAATTGGCTATTCTTATGTTTTGTCCATTTAGGCATTCGGGACTTTTGGTTAGAGTATACTTTCTGCTTCTTTGGATCCAGTGATGGCTGTTTTTGTGCCAATTCTATCCTACAGTAATTATTGTTGTCTTATTTAAGTTTCACTATCTGACAGTACTTCCCATATCCCTAATTACAATTTTCTTACCCTCTAAATGCTCCGTGATGGTCGTCCAGATGAATTATTGAATTGTCAGTTTCAGAAAGATCTTACTGGAATTTGATTACAATTGCAACCAGCTTATGAATTATTTTGGATGAACACTGACATATTATTCAGATTTTCTACCCAGGAAGATATAAATCTTAGTTTTAATATTCTTATCCTTCAATGTCTTTTTTTTTTTTTTCTTTTTAAAGATTTATTTGAAAGGAGAGTTACAAGGGCTGGTGCTGTGGCATAGCAGGTTAAGCCTCTGCCTGCAGCACTGGCATCCCATATGGGTGCCAGTTCGAGTCCCGGCTTCTCTACTTCCTATCCAGCTCTCTGCTAACAGCCTGGGAAAGCAATGGAAGATGGCTCAAGTGCTTGGGGCCCTGGGTCCACGTGGGAGACTCAGAAGAAGCTCCTGGCTCCTGATTGGTCCAGCTCTGGCCATAATAGCAATTTGGGGAATAAACCAGCAGATGGAAGATCTCTCTCTGTCTCTCTCTCAAATAAATAAATAAATGTTTAAAAAGAAAAGAGAGAGACAGAAAGAAAGAGAGAGAATTTTTCATCTGTTGGTTCACTCCCCAAATGGCCGCAGCGGTGGCTAGGGCTGGGCGAGGCAGAAACTTCACCTGGGTGTCCCACAAGGGGTGGCTGGGGCCTAAGCACTTGGGCCGTCTTCCACTGCCTTCCCAAACGCATTAGCAGGGAGCTGGATTGGAACAGCCAGGACTTGAACTGTACTCCTATAAGATGCTGGCATCTCAGGCAGTGGCTTAACCAACCTGCTGTGCCACAGTGCCTGCCCCTCCCTCAGTGTCTTACTTTGATTACCACATGAGTGGACTTTTTTTCCTCTGAAATCTAAGAAACTAGAAAGAAGTATTTCTTTAAGCCTGGACATAGCTCAAACAACTGACTAACCTGAAGGGAATTAAAAGAAGGTTTCCATGTGATACTGGAATTTGAAATAGTCAAATTAAAAAGAACAGTGACTAAAGTCAGACCTGGACTGTCCAATAAAACTTCCTGTGAAGATGGAAATATTCTTTATCTGCACTATCTATTGTGGCTGCTATTACTCACATGAGGTTTTATAGAGCACTTTAAACCTGACTAGTGCAACTGAAGAACTGTATTTTAATTTCAAAAAACTTTCACTTTAAACTCACACAGAAGTTGCAAAAATAGTACAGTGAATTTTTGCAAATTATTCCTCCAATTTTTCCCAGTAATAACATCCAATATCACTACACTGTAATTATAAAACCAGAAAACTGACATTAGTATTATTTATTTATTTATTTTTCTCTATCTCTTTTTTTTTTTTCTTAATTTGACAGGTAGAGTAATAGACAGAGAGACAGACAGAAAGGTCTTCCTTCCCTTGGTTCACTCCCCAAATGGCCGCTATGGCCGGTGCTGTGCAAACCAAAGCCAGGAGCCAGGTGCCTCCTCCTGGTCTCCCATGCGGGTGCAGGGGCCTAAGCACTTGGGCCATCCTCTACTGCCCTCCCGGGCCACAGCAGAGAGCTGGACTGGAAGAGGAGCAACCTGGACTAGAACCTGGTGCCCATATGGGATGCCAGCACCACAGGCGGAAGATTAACCAAGTGAGCCATGGCACCAGCCCCCTGACATTAGTATTATTAAGTACAGACATTATTTGACTTTCATCAGTTCTACATACACCCCCTCCTTCCTTCCTAACTACCACCACAATCAGGATACAGAACTGTCCCATTGATCTACCCACCCTACCCCAAAACATCTCACATACTACCCTTTTGTAGTCCCTCCCTTGCCCCAGATGTCTCCATCACTAAAATTTTGCCCTTTTAAAAATGTTTTATGTATGTAATCATATGAAGGCACTTCAAGGTTTGTGGAATTTGGAATTAAAGTTTATTTTGATGTACAAAATTTTGAAATCCCTAAGTAAGTTTTAAATCATATGCATTTTTCAATGAAGTTTTTGATGAGCCCTTGTATTGTATGAGATCAGCTTCTGCCACTTAACAATGTTTTTGGACATTTATTCACCTTTCTGCATGAATCAATACTCATCCCTTTTTATTGCTCAGAGTGTTCCATTTTATGGACACATCACTGTTTATTTACCCACACTCCACTTATTAAAGTGGCTTTAACTTACATTTTCCTAATGACTAATGATGTTGAACATCTTCCCATGTGCTGACTGACTAGCACCATATCTTCTTCGGAGAAGTGTCTACCGAAATCTTCTGCCCATTGCAACTAGTTTTAATTCACATAGCCAAATGAACCTAGTGGCTACCATCTTAGTGCAGAATAACTGGAAATTTAAAAGATGGAAAAAAAAAGAAGATATGGCAAAAATGAAGGTTCGTAGGTTTTAAGAATTAACTTGTCATGAATCATCACTGAGAAATCATACTGAGAAAGAAAGCAGATGGAGGAAAGACTTAAAGAACACAATATATTTATGCT